GAGGCAAAGGTTTCAGAACTCATCACTTTTCTGAAACATGTTCCATGGAGCGCTTTTGACACTGAATCTCAATCCCGCCCGTTTCCTCGAGACCCTGAAAACAAAGCCACCTTGAAGCCAGCGTATGTGGTGTTTGGATGCTACATGCATGGTGGTGTGGTTGGTGTGACTCAGGTGACTCGCCGTTGTCCGTATTTAACTCGTGTGGTGATGTTGGTGATGAGACACCTTTGTGACGACTTCCAAGGCACGTCGGTCTGTGTGTCATGCAACATCCGATCTCCTCCACACCGAGATTCGTACAATCTGTCAGGGTCTGAGAATGTGGTGGTGGCTTTGATAAGGCCGTGCGATGGGGGCGGTGTATGGACCCAACTGAAAGAAGAGGAAAGTCCTAGCATGCATCAGGTTCCCGTTCAGTGTGGCTCTAAAGAAGTTTTGGGTGCGATTCAAGAACTTGAGTCTCCAGTGAAGCTGTGCCCCCAGCGGTGGCACGCAACCCAACCTTGGACTGGAGATCGCTTGGTGATGATTGGGTATTCAATTGGAAGTGCTCATAAGCTTCAGATGTCGGATAGAGCTCTGTTACGTAGGTACGGAACCCCCATGCCTCCTAGGATTCTTGCGCCACAACATCAGAGTCTTCCGTCGCTGAGAACGCCCAAAGTCCAGAGGTTAAAACCGTCATCCCTTGGTGTAGCCCCGAGCTCCCAGCATGCCTACATCCACAGTCACGAAGAAGGAGATGCAGGATCGCCTTCGCCAGCAGGGCGAGAATCCGCCCACGTCGTGGACCAAGGTACAGCTGGCAGCACGACTGGCCGAGCTTGCCGAGGAGATCACGCCGACAACCTCAACAATGACGGAGCGCGATGCGGTGAAGATCATCAATCGCTGCAAGCGCAAGGCGGAGCTCCAGGCTCTTCTACAGGAGCACGGTGTCCCGTTTACTCCGGCTCAGACAGTCGATCAGCTGAAGAGCAGGATCTACAAGCACCTCATGGAGACTCAGGTGATTCCAGCGGGATCCGAAAGTATGGGTTTCGGGAAACACTCCGAGATGACCTACAACCAGGTGATTGTGGAGAAGCCGGAGTACACGAAGTGGTGCATAAGCACAGCCGTGGAGAATCCAGAGAGTCATTGGCGCCTTCTTCGGTTTGCCCAATGGGCCCAGGGAATCTCAATGAGCGAGAAAGAGGCGATCCGGGGTCGCCTGGGAACTTCCTGGACCACAGCATATCCTGTCAGAGCCGTGGCAGCCAAGCGCATAGCAGCTCCCAGCAGAGCATCGGGATCAGAGACGTCATGGGAAATGACACAGGAGGTCAACCAGGACCTGGAGATGATCCCCGAGGAAGCCATGTCACGCATCAAGGAACTCGAGCTGGAATTGGGCCGACTCCGCCAGGAGATGAAGAATCGCGAGGGCAATCCCGAAATCAAGACCCACCAGAAGCGAGCCTCCTCTCCTCCATGAGGGACACGTCCATGGACACCAATGCGGATCACAATGATGAGGCTGAGGAGATCTTAGGACCCGGTATTTTCCAGAAGCTTTCTTTCCAAAAGGCCCGATACATAGGTCAGACTTATGAGCAGGCTTTGATGGCTAGTGTTCAGGCTGTGCAAGGGAAGAGGATTATGCTTCTTGAGGTTGGAGGTCCTGAGGAGAGTGTGTTAGTGAAGGAGTGTGAAAAGGTTTTTGGAAAGGGCTCAGCTGTTCAACTTTCCCATTGGAACGGTGGAGATCTCGACACGGAACAGGGCCAGGGGTACATTCAGAGGGTTATTCAGGAAGAGCATCCTAGGTTGGTGTGGTTTAACCCTGACTCCCAAGCGTACTCCCCTCTTCAGCGTATGAACCAAAGAAGCCCTGAACAGACAGAGAGACTCCAGGCCAAGCGGGAAAGGACTGATCGTCAATATGAAGGGATCAGTAAGATCTTCCGGGCAGCAGCATCTAGCGGAACCACATGTGTCATGGGAAGTCCAGAGCACTGCGAGCTTTGGCACCAGGACTGGTATACGGCCTTAGTCAAGGACTTAGGTTTGTATGAGGGTGTGTGTCAAGGCTGTCAGGTGAACAGGCGCAGCTTTCAGAAGGTTCTTCAGTGTTCAGGTTGGGGCCTGGTGAGTTCTGATGGAGCTTTGATTCAGAATCTGTCACTTCAGTGTGATAGGAGACATGCCATGGAGCGAAATCCCGTGAACTCACAAGCTAGTGACCAGGCGTATACCAGTGAGTTTGCACGTCGACTTGTCCGATACCTTCAGAGAAAGGAGAGTTGGTTTGAGGTTGCTCGGGAGTTTCAGACGTCCTCACACACATGCTTTGCCGCATCCAGCGCATCGCCGGAGTCCACAGAGACTCCATCTGAAGGCATCCAGGACATTCCCCGTGAGACGCGGAAGCGCATTTTTCAGAATTTGCGCAAGATTCATACTGCCACAGGACATTGCAGTCTGCAGTACCTTAAGGAAAACCTGAAGCGTAGGGGAGCTTATGCGGTGTGCTGAATTGTTTCAGTGCGATGTCTGTGATGAACGTAGGAGGCCCAACCCTCGTAGTCAAGCGACTCTTCAGGAACTTGTCCCAAAATGGCATACCCTGCAATGTGATGCTTTCTCATGGAACCACCCCAATGGAGAACAGAAATGGCAATTTATGTTGGGAATCGATGAGGGAAGCAGGCTTCGGGTTGGAAGATTGCTGTCTCAACATCAGACCCGAACTCCAGGGATGCAGGACTTTGTGGACTTTTTCGAGGGTCATTGGTTGCCTCATTTCGGAAATCCCCAGGTGTTGCGATTTGACCCTGCAGGATGCTTCAGAAGTCATCAGTTAGATAGGTATCTGAGTGATCGTGGCATTGAGGTGCAACACATTCCAGCTGAGGCACATTGGCAAAACTCGTTGGTGGAACGGTCAGTTCAGATGGTCAAGGAGATGATGTCATCGTTGGTTTCAGAACAGCCTACCATGACAGCCTCTGAAGCCTTTTATCGATCGGTGTGGGCGTGCAACAATAGGGATCAGTATCATGGATATAGCCCACTTCAGCATGCTTTCGGAAGGGCTCCTGACGAATTAGGACGTCTTGGA